AGATCCTAAACCCTCTTTCTGGGGCAGTTACAGGCTCTGTGGGGTCTGTGGGGTCTATGGGGTGGTTACAGGGTCTGTGGGGTGGTTGCAGGATCTGTGGGGTGGTTACAGGGTCTGTGGGGTCTGTGGGGCAGTTATAGGGTCTGTGGGGTCTGTGGGGCAGTTATAGGGTCTGTAGGGTCTGTAGGGTCTGTGGGATCTGTGGGGCAGTTATAGGCTCTGTAGGGTCTGTGGGGCAGTTATAGGGTCTGTAGGGTCTGTGGGATCTGTGGGGTGTGTGGGGCAGTTATAGGGTCTGTAGGGTCTGTGGGGTCTGTGGGGCAGTTATAGGGTCTGTAGGGTCTGTGGGGTCTGTGGGGCAGTTATAGGGTCTGTCGGGTGTGTGGGGCAGTTACAGGGTCTGTGGGGGTCCGTGGGGCAGTTATAGGGTCTGTAGGGTCTGTAGGGTCTGTGGGATCTGTGGGGTGTGTGGGGCGGTTCTGGGGTCTCTGGGCTGCAGGGTCGGCACCACCTCAGATCCCTGGGCTGCCCCATCCCGAGCTCTGTTCCCATGGGAAATTCCCTGGAACATTCCCTGGAACATTCCCATTCCCATCCCCATTCCCATTCCCATCCCCATTCCCATTGCGAGTTCCCTGGAACATTCCCAATCCCATTCCCATTCCCAATCCCCATTCCCAATGGGAATTCTCTGGAATTCTCTCCCGCAGGGCTCAGTGGTGGTGGAACGCGTGTGGCCGGTGCCAGATCCCCATTCCCAATCCCCATTCCCAATCCCATTCCCCCTGGGAATTCCCTGGAATTCTCTGGAATTCTCTCCCGCAGGGCTCGGTGGTGGTGGAGCGCGTGTGGCCGGTGCCAGATCCCCATTCCCACTGGGAATTCCCAATCCCATTCCCAATCCCATTCCCAATCCCCATTCCCAATCCCATTCCCAATCCCCATTCCCCCTGGGAATTCTCTGGAATTCTCTCCCGCAGGGCTCGGTGGTGGTGGAGCGCGTGTGGCCGGTGCCAGATCCCCATTCCCCCTGGGAATTCCCTGGAATTCCCTGGAATTCTCTCCCGCAGGGCTCGGTGGTGGTGGAGCGCGTGTGGCCGGTGCCGCTGGCCCGGCTGGGAGCGGCTCCCCGGTTACACCCGCGCCGGCACCGCGTCTTCCGCCTGGTGCGGGACGGGAAGCACCTGCCCCGTTCCCGCATGGAGCTGCTCCTGACCCGCTCCGTGCAGGGTGAGCCATCCCGGAATCCCGGGAATCCCAGAATCCCGGAATCCCAACAATCCCAGCAATCCTGGAATCCCAGAATCCCGGCAATCCCAACAATCCCGGAATCCCAGAATCCCGGCAATCCCAGCAATCCCAACAGTCCCGGCAATCCCGGAATCCTGGAATCCCGGCAATCCCAACAATCCCGGCAATCCCAGAATCCCAGAATCCCAACAATCCCGGAATCCTGGGAATCCCAGAATCCCGACAATCCCAGCAATCCCAACAATCCCGGCAATCCCAACAATCCCAGAATCCCGGCAATCCCAGAATCCCGGAATCCCGGCAATCCCAGCAATCCCGGAATCCCAACAATCCCGGCAATCCGAACAATCCCGGAATCCCAGAATCCCGGAATCCAAACAATCCTGGCAATCCTGGAATCCCACAATCCCGGCAATCCTGGGAATCCCAACAATCCCGGCAATCCCGGCAATCCTGGCAATCCCACAATCCCGGCAATCCTGGGAATCCCAACAACCCTGGAATCCTGGCATCCCGGCATCCCGGCAATCCCGGAATCCCAGGAATCCCAGGAATCCCGGCAGTCCCAACAATCCCGGCAATCCCGGCAATCCCAGAATCAAAAAAAGAAAAAGCACGATTTGGGGTGTCCCCAGCAGGATTTGGGGTGTTCCCAGCAGGATTTGGGGTGTTCCCAGCAGGATTTTGGGGTGTTCCCAGGAGGATTTGGGGTGTCCCCAGCAGGATTTTGGGGTGTCTCCGCAGGCGTGGGGCGCCGTGGGGACGTGGTGAGCGTGGGGCGGCGCCTGGGCAGGAACCGGCTGCTCCCGCAGGGCCTGGCCGTGTACCCGAGCCCGGAGAACCTGCGGGTGTTCCAGGATCAGGAGAAGGTCAGCGCCTCCCGGAACCTTCCGGAACCTTCTGGAACCTTCCTGAACCTTCCTAAACCTTCCTGAACCTCCCAGAACCTTCCTGAACCTTCTGGAACCTCCCGGAACCTTCTGGAACCTTCCTGAACCTTTCCAAACCTTCCCGAACCTCCCAGAACCTTCCAAACCTTCCTGAACCTTCCTGAACCTCCCAGAACCTTCCAAACCTTCCTGAACCTTCCAAACCTTCCGGAACCTTCCTGAACCTTCCGGAACCTTCTGGAACCTTCCCAAACCTCCCAGAACCTTCCAAACTTTCCCAAACCTTTCCAAACCTTTCAAACCTTCCTGAACCTTCCAGAACCTTCCTGAACCTTCCAAACCTTCCCGAACCTTCCAGAACCTTCCAAACCTTCCTGAACCTTCCGAACCTTCCTGAACCTTCCTGAACCTTCCTGAACCTCCCAGAACCTTCTGGAACCTTCCTGAACCTTCCGGAACCTTCCAAACCTTCCTGAACCTTCTGGAACCTTCCTGAACCTCCCAGAACCTTCCAAACCTTCCTGAACCTTCCTGAACCTTCCAAACCTTCCTGAACCTTCCAAACCTTCCTGAACCTTCCTGAACCTTCCGGAACCTTCCTGAACCATCCAGAACCTTCCGGAACCTTCCAAACCTTCCTGAACCTTTCCAAACCTTCCCAACCTTCCCAAACATTTCCAAACCATCCGGAATCTTCCTGAACCTTTCGGAACCTTCCAAACCTTCCAAACCTTCCTGAACCTTCCTGAACCTTCCCAAACCTTCCCAAACCTATCCCCATTTCCCCATCCCATTCCCATTTTTCCCCATCCCAATCCCATTTTCCCCCATTTTTCCATCCCAATCCAATTTTTCCCCATTTTCCCCCCATTTCCCCAATCCCAATCCCATTTTCCCCATCCCAATCCCATTTCCCCCCATTTTCCCCCATTTTCCCCAATCCCAATCCCATTTTCCCCATCCCAATCCCATT